AAACAAAAATCCAGAAAATCACATTGTATGATTTTTAAGTAATTAATTTGCATTTTATTGCATGACATAAGTATTTGATCACCTACCAACCAGTAAGAATTCCGGCTCTCACAGACCTGTTAGTTTTTCTTTAAGAAGCCCTCCTGTTCTCCACTCATTACCTGTATTAACTGCACCTGTTTGAACTCGTTACCTGTATAAAAGACACCTATCCACACACTCAATCAAACAGACTCCAACCACTCCACAATGGCCAAGACCAGAGAGATGTGTAAGGACATCAGGGATAAAATTGTAGACCTGCACAAGGCAAGGATGGGCTACAGGACAATAGGCAAGCAGCTTGGTGAGAAGGCAACAACTGTTGGCGCAATTATTAGAAAATTGAAGAAGTTCAAGATGACGGTCAATCAACCTCGGTCTGGGGCTCCATGCAAGATCTCACCTCGTGGGGCATCAATGATCATGAGGAAGGTGAGGGATCAGCCCAGAACTACACGGCAGGACCTGGTCAATGACCTGAAGAGAGCTGGGACCACAGTCTCAAAGAAAACCATTAGTAACACACTACGCCGTCATGGCTTAAAATCCTGCAGCGCACGCAAGGTCCCCCTGCTCAAGCCAGCGCATGTCCAGGCCCGTCTGAAGTTTGCCAATGACCATCTGGATGATCCAGAGGAGGAATGGGAGAAAGTCATGTGGTCTGATGAGACAAAAATAGAGCTTTTTGGTCTAAACTCCACTCACTGTGTTTGGAGGAAGAAGAAGGATGAGTACAACCCCAAGAACACCATCCCAAACCTGAAGCATGGAGGTGGAAACATCGTTCTTTGGGGATGCTTTTCTACAAAGGGGACAGGACGACTGCACCGTATTGAGGGGAGGATGGATGGGGCCATGTATCGCGAGATCTTGGCCAACAACTTCCTTCCCTCAGTAAGAGCATTGAAGATGGGTCGTGGCTGGGTCTTCCAGCATGACAACGACCCGAAACACACAGCCAGTGCAACTAAGGAGTGGCTCCGTAAGAAGCATCTCAAGGTCCTGGAGTGGCCTAGCCAGTCTCCAGACCTGAACCCAATAGAAAATCTTTGGAGCGAGCTGAAAGTCCGTATTGCCCAGCGACAGCCCCGAAACCTGAAGGATCTGAAGAAGGTCTGTATGGAGCAGTGGGCCAAAATCCCTGCTGCAGTGTGTGCAAACCTGGTCAAGACCTACAGGAAACGTATGATCTCTGTAATTGCAAACAAAGGTTTCTGTACCAAATATTAAGTTATGCTTTTCTGATGTATCAAATACTTATGTCATGCAATAAAATGCAAATTAATTACTTAAAAATTATACAATGTGATTTTCTGGATTTTTGTTTTAGATTCCGTCTCTCACAGTTGAAGTGTACCTATGATACAAATTACAGACCTCTACATGCTTTGTAAGTAGGAAAACCTGCAAAATCGGCAGTGTATCAAATACTTGTTCTCCCCACTGTAACTACTGCTGTTCATCTTTTCTATTAATATACTGTCTATACACACCATCATATACATATTTATTTATATTCCGGACTCTGACATTGCTCGTATTGATATTTCTTAATTAATTAATTTAAATTTTTTGTTTTGTATTGTTAGGTATTACTGCACTGTTGGAGCTAGATACACAAGCATTTTACGGTGCAGGGGGTCCTCTCTCTTCCTAGCTGCACCTGTCCTCTTAGCCCCACTATAACTAAGGGTATTGCCTTTTTAGATGTTATTTGGTATGGCTTGTGATGTTGGCTTGTTGTTTTGTTGCCAATAGAAAGCCTTTAGATGCAGTATTATTTATCATGTATGATGTAACTCTGTATAGTCATGAATAGCATGTAGGGTCACACAGAGCTTAAACAACTATGGAGTAGCAATGTTCCCAGCCAGCAGCAGTGAATGTTAAAGACTTAGCTCAGCAGAAATAGACGTAGTGGCTGGGACCAGGGAGAGTAGCTCAATTATTGTCAGAGTGTGAATGGGAATAGAGGGATGCCCCTGTCTCCCTCTACGTCTCCCTCTCCCTCGGGCTTGATTACCTGACCAACAGTCTTGTCTCAGAGACCTCAACACCACAAGGCTGGTCAGATGTTGAGCTTTAGTTGACTCTTTGACCTTTGTCCATGAGCCTGTTTGTCTCCTATAACAAAGTTCAACTTTGTCATTTTAAAGTCCAGACTGTCTTTTTATTAAAGCGTGTGTGTGTTTGTGTGAGTGCGTGAGTGCGTGCGTGTATGTTAACAAGTGTGTGTAGATGTGTGTTTGCATGTAAGTGCTGAGCTATGTGCATTTAATTATCTCTGTGTGTGTTATAGACGGGGCACACTGTTCTGGTTATGAGCACACTGTTCTGGTTATGAACACACTGTTCTGGTTATGATCACACTGTTCTGGTTATGAGCACGCTGTTCTGGTTATGAGCACACTGTTCTGGTTATGAGCACACTGTTCTGGTTATGAACACACTGTTCTGGTTATGAACATACTGTTCTGGTTACGAGCACACTGTTCTGGATATGAGCCCGTGACGTCCTGTTGATCCACAGATTAGTCTGGACTGAGCCAAAATCATGGGGTGGGCCGGCAGCACCAGCTGCCCTGGTGTTCATAACTATACTCGTCTTAGGCTGGTCTGTACCGCTGCCAATACCAGCACTAACACCCCGGTCTGATGTCATAACCACTTCAGACACACGCCACTCTTACAGGCCGAATAGTTATTACAGCCCTGCCAATACCGTAAGAATCCCCCCTCCCCCACAAGCACACACACACGCGCACACACACGCAGGCAGGCAGGCAAGCACACAGACACACCAGAGTGAGAGCGAGAGACACACAGTTTTGAATGTCATCAACCCTCACCCACATACAGATATGTACTCCCCAGAGCTACATAACTCTTCTCACCACACACGGACATTCAGCACTTGTCCCCTGTGTAGTGTTACTGGACCGTGCTGACGGCCTGTACATAGCAATGTGTTGTAATACTAACACTATGCACTGGCATTGTTTGCGACATGAAACTACATGGATTAACATGTAATGATAGACTCCTTGCTGTGGACCATTGTTGTAATGTTAGACTGAAACACTGCAGTGGCACTTGTTTTTGTGTTGTACACCTGCTGAAGTAATGATTTTCATTGCTGTACTAAAATCCTAGGTGGTTGGGCCATGGTTGGGCCATTTAGATTTACTGTAGGATTATGTATGTCAAGGTTACGAGGGCATGTATGATGACTTCATGAATTAAGGTACCTTGGGAGAAAAGGGTAGATTAGAAAAAATGACAACTAGGACTGCATCAACGGTTTTCTTTGATATTTCCTAAAACCAGTCCAAATTAACCAGAAAGCCATTTATAGCAGTTCAATTTTTCTTTTGTATGAAAGGTACACTCTAATAATCGTCAAGAGATTTCCCATATAGGTTACAAGGGAAATGAGTTATGGCTGTAAATTGAGAGCCTGAATATAGCACATAAAAAGTTTACACCAAAGGGTCACCTCTGAGGAGTTGATTGAGATGTTTTAATGAATTCCTATTGGGTTGGGGGATGCTTGCTATGTTATGGGGGTCTATTGTGGACTTGAATTGTTCTGTGTTCCTGTTTTCAAATAAGTTGAAAGATGCCTTGTGTGTTAATACAGTATGGCATAGTCCCACTGGAATTGGAAACAATTAAAAAGATAATGACTAAGGGATGATGTGCCCAACAAAAATGCATAGAAAAATGATCTCTATAATGGCATCCAAAACCATTATGCTCCGCATTCAGTGCTTTATGATTACGTTAGACCACAGTTAAAGGTAGACTTGGCTTTAGTTCAAATCCGCCAAGACTGCCTCGATTGACTCTTCCCAAAGTGGCAACGCCCGAAGGGAGGGCACATACTGAGAAAAGAAAATGGCGTCTTTCGGAGAAATCCAAATTCTGTTCTGTTCTAATGGGGGTCTGTTGTCATTATGTGGTGTTGCTGTTTAGTTGAGTCACGTTCTCTTGAGAGGGTAGGAGTTTTGAGCTAAAATGACACTGGATACATCTAACAATTTATGTTTCCATGTATTTTTTTTAAATATTTTTTTAAAACTTCCAAATCAGTCTTTCCCTGGCTTCCTCCTGTGTAGCTGAAGCAACATGACCTACAGTGATCCAATAATAACCAATGTCCTCCTCTCTGCACTGTGCTTTGGTGTGCTGTAGCTGAGGGAGCAGTATGCCTGTAAGAGGGCCAGAGAGAGAGAGGTCTGCTGGACAGGCTGAGTGTGCTTACTGTACTTCACTGCTCTACTCAGGCTGAGGTTGAGGCTTATTCTCAGGTCTATGGAGTGACTCACAGGCTTCTGTCTGACTGCATTATAAAACCTCCTGATGCATTTCCATATGCAACAGAGCAGCCTACTTCTGTAGTCACTAAGTGGAGGGCTCAAGGGACCAGATGGATAACCAAGCGCCAGGCTAAGGCCACGCGGCCACTAGTGAATGCGCACGGAGAGGAGGAGAGGAAGATGGAGGAGGAGAGAGTCAGAGAAATTGAATGAGTGAGGGTTAACTCAGTGAAGAAGTAGGAATGTGAAGAGGGAAGAGGAGAGGGATGGAGAGAATACAGAAATAGATGCATTATACCAGAGCTTAGTTACTTTAGGAGCTCCCATGAAAGAAGAAGGAATTAATAAAAGTTTGAGTGGAAATAAAGTCTTCCCCAATGTCTGACCCAGCCTTTAGAGACAAGTGTGGTGTTCCCAAAAAAAACTACCCAGTCAGCACTCCTGTCACGAAGAGGATAGGTATGAGAGGAGGATAGACTTGAGGAGAGGGGAGGACCAAGGGCAGATTAATTATTAACCGACTTTGAGTTTTAAATGCAATGAAGGGATGTACAGGGCAGCGGTGAGGAGAGGAGGAACAGTTAGGGAGAGATTCTGAGGTAAAAGAGGGTCAGAGGTAAAAGAGGCAGGGGCGGCGGAATGGTTGACAAGGGGAAGAGAGGGGCAGGGACGGTTGGAGACAGATACTCAACTAAGAACGATAGATGGGCGATAGCTAAGTAAATGGAGGGCTGTGAGATCTCACATGTGAGCTCCTTCTCATGTTCTTTCTAGAATGCATCACTCCAATGGCCACTTCCTGGGTTCTGAACAGGCAGTTCAGATGGGGATGTTTTAGAGAATGGTGTCCTTACAAATTACAACAGAAGTTTGAATGGAGCATCTGACAGGAAGTTCCAGGCCAGCAGTCACTTTATATTAGTAATCTATCCCCGGACAAGAGGAAAATGCCAAAAGGATGAGATTAGGAATATAATCCAGCCTTGCACCCACCCAAACCACTGCCTTTGTGTATCATTTTAGGATCATAACTGATCTAACTTTAGTAAATGGTATATCCACTTGTTCACCAGATGTGTGTATTTGTGGGTGTGTGTCTGTGTGTGTGTGTGTGTGTGTGTGTGGGGGGGGGGGGGGGGACAGCTGTTCTTGATTTAATCTGAGATTAGCATGAGATATCACAGCTGTGATGCATTCACAAGGGCCACTAAAGGAATCAGGAGAGGACAGGGAGGCTGCCAGTTTGGGTTGCTAGTCTAGACAGATGTATCTTAGAGCACAAACAAGTAAACACCTCACAGACACACAGCCAGGCAAATTGAAGTATTTAGGCGCATATACATACCGCACATGCTTAAAAATTGGCTTAGTCGTGATATGAGCAGTACGATAGACACTAGCTCTTAAACTACAAGGCAAATAACATGTATCAGGGGAGCAGAACTATTCTTCAATCAATGGATATTACAGTGTTGTACTACAGTAATGTAAAACTCTCAGACTATGGTAACAGCAGTGTCACCACAACAGTCTGCTGAGTCACGGTTAATAGATGAGGAGTCAAGCCTTCTCTATAAACAACACACCAGTCCAATGGCAGCCTCTCTCTCTCTCTCTCTCTCTCTCTCTCTCTCTCTCTCTCTCTCTCTCTCTCTCGCTCTCTCTCTCTCGCACTCTGTCTCTCTCGCTCTCTCTCTCTCTCTCTCTCTCTTAGAGGCAAAGATTGCTTGTGTGTGTGTGTGTGTCTGTGTGTGTCTGTGTCTCTGTGTGTGTGTGTGCGTGTGTGTGTGTGTGGTCATATGTTTGTGTGTGTGTATGTGTTTGTGCATGTGTGACAAAGTGATTAGAGGTAATATATTTGCCAGGTAGCAGGCAGGCAGTCGAGGCTGGTGAGCAGAAGGGTGGTTATTTAATTAAAACCACTGAGAGATTAGTCCTGTCCTGCCCTCCTGGGACCCACAACACACACACACACGCGCGTGACTGACCAGCCATGCTGTCCCCAATCTAGCTAGCCCAGTACTACTGCCATCATACAGCTTATAGTGTCGCCAAACCCTGGACTCAGAGCCCTTGAGCCCCCTTGGGCCAACACCAACACCACCACAAAACAGTTGCCTATATATTGTGTAAAGATGAGGAGTAGATGAGTAGGGAGTATGATAAAAGACAAAGAGGAGGGAGAAAAGGGCAGCGTTTGACGGCGACATTGTCAAGCCAGTAAGCGAGAGAGAGAGCAAGGGAGAAGGAGGCAGAGAGAGAAACATAGTCTATTGAGCTGCTGCAGCATTACTCTGCTGCATTACAGAGAGAGAGACAGAGAGAGAGAGAAGGCGATGGAGGGAGGGATATATTGTGATGCTGAAGAGGGAAGTGTGCGTGCGTGCAAGTGTTTGTGTGTACCGTATGTCTGTGCCTGTGCATTCCTAGAAACAGGGAAGGGAGATTACCAGGAAAGGCTAAATTCAAATAGTACAAAATAGGGAGCTTAGATTGTTTTGCAGGTACCCCTCGCTCATTTTCCTTCTGCTTCCCTCAGTCAGTTCCCTCTCTTTGCTGAAGTGTGATTGATGCTAGTGTCTGTCATTCTCAACCTCTGTCATTCTCAGCCACAGCGGCCCAGTAAAAATAACAATCTGTCAAGATCAGACAGTGGATTGGATGGGTGTAAACTATATGCCAATAGCTCCAACTAGCCCTCTAGGTGGAATTCATACCATATTGATTACACAATCCAGATTACAGGGTTAGATTTCAGATGCTATATCAAAATGATCGAGTCTATTTGGACTGAAGTGGCTAGAGGCTAGAGGCTAGGGACTAGGTGTTAGGGGCTAGGGGGTAGGAGCTAGGGGCTAGGGGGTAGGAGCTAGTGGGTAGGAGCTAGGGTCTAGGAGCTAGGGGGTAGGAGCTAGGGTCTAGGGGGTAGGAGCTAGGGGGTAGGAGCTAGGGGGTAGGAGCTAGGGGGTAGGAGCTAGGGTCTAGGGGGTAGGAGCTAGGTGGTAGGGGGTAGGAGCTAGGGGCTAGGGGGTAGGAGCTAGGGGGTAGGGGGTAGGAGCTAGGGGCTAGGGGCTAGGGGGTAGGAGCTAGGCGCTGGGGTTTATTTCGGATGGGATATTCATAAAGATTTATCTACACTAATTGAAATGAAGTGAAAGAATCAGCACTAATGTGGTAATTGCCCCAGTTAATCGGTGCAATTAATAATCTGTTGAATTGTTAATTGTTTTCCTAAGCAAGTTGCTTTAAAATAGCTGTTCGATCACAGCCAAGGACAAACTAAAGGCAACTTTTTTTCAGTCAATATCTTGTCATTTGAGGATGCATTGCCATTCACTGCACAGCAAATTGTCATTTGATCTGCAACAAATTATACTGAACAAAAATATAAACGCAACATGCAACAATTCTACTGAGTTACAGTTCATATAAGGAAATCAGTCCATTAAAATAAATAAATTAGGCCCTAATCTATGGATTTCACATTACTGGGCAGGGGTGCAGCCATTATGGGAGTTTTGGAGCAGTGGCTTCTTCATTGCTGAGCGGCCTTTCAGGTTATGTCGATATAGGACTCGTTTTACTATGGATATAGATACTTTTGTACCTGTTTCCTCCAGCATCTTCACAAGGTCATTTGCTGTTGTTCTGGGATTGATTTAAACTTTTCGCACCAAAGTACTGTCACGATCGTTTACGGATGAGACGGACCAAGGCGCAGCGTGATAAGCGTACATATTTATTAAAGTACTGAACACGAACAAAACAACAAACAAACGATACAAGAAGTCCAAGGTAGACTAATAACATACCTATACGGAACAAGATCCCACACCGACTAGTGCCAAACAGGCTGCCTAAGTATGGTCCCCAATCAGAGACAATGAGATACAGCTGCCTCTGATTGGGAACCACCCTGGCCAACATAGATCTAAATGATCTAGCACATAAACATAGAAAATACAACACAGACACTACACACCCTGGCTCAACATTTCAGAGTCCCCAGAGCCAGGGCGTGACAAGTACGTTCATCTCTAGGAGACAGAACGCTTCTCCTTCCTGAGCGGCATGACGGCTGCGTGCTCCCATGGTGTTTATGCTTGCAAACTATTGTTTGTACAGATGAACGTGGTACCTTCAGGCGTTTGAAAATTGCTCCCAAGGATGAACCAGACTTGTGGAGGTCTACAATTGTTATTCTGAGGTCATGGCTGATTTCTTTAGATTTTCCAATGATGTCAAGCAAAGAGGCACTGAGTTTGAAGGAAGGCCTTGAAATACATCCAAAGGTACACCTCCAATTGACTCAAATGATGTCAATTAGCCTATCAGAAGTTTCTAAAGCCATGACATAATTGTCTGGAATTTTCCAAGCTGTTTAAAGGCACATTCAACTTAGTGTATGTAAACCTTTGACCCACTGGAATTGTGATACAGTGAATTATAAGTGAAATAATCTGTCTGTAAACAATTGTTGGAAAAATTACTTGTGTCATGCACAAAGTAGATGTCCTAACCGACTTTCCACAACTATAGTTTGTTAACAAGAAATTTGTGGAGTGGTTGAAAAACGAGTTTTAATGACTCCAACCTAACTGTACGCAAACTTCCGACTTCAACTGTAAGAAACATGAATTTCGGATCATTTGTTTTGAAATGTCTCTCAGGTTGATGAGAAAATGTCCAGACTGATGTTGTTGATACACTAAAAGGTAAATTTTCCAGAAAGTACATCTTTCAATCTGTCTAGTAGGAGTATTTCTCATCCATTTTCACCTAATGCTGCTCACACATTATGTTGTTTGAAACTTTACTTTCAGATAATTGAGAGTGGTCAGTAGTATGGTCAGTAGTTGTGGTCAGTAGTTGGGTGGTTTATTAGTTGTGGTCAGTAGTTGTGTGGTTTTGGTCGGTAGTTGTGCGGTTGTGGTCAGTAATTATGGTCATTAGTTGTGGTCAGTAGTTGTGTGGTTGTGGTCAGTAGTTGTGTGGTTGTGATCTGTAGTTGTTTGGTTGTGGTCAGTAGTTGTGTCGTTGTGGTCAGTAGTTGTGTGGTTGTGGTCAGTAGTTGCGTGGTTGTGGTCAATAGTTGTGATCAGTAGTTGTGTGGTTCTGGTCAGAAGTTGTGTGGTTGTGGTCAGTAGTTGTGCGGTTCAGTAATTGTGTGGTCACTAGTTGTGTGGTTGTGGTCAGTGGTTCTGTGGTTGTGGTCAGTAGTTGTGGTCAGTGATTGTGGTCAGTAGTTTTGGTCAGGAGTTGTGGTCAGTAGTTGTGTGGTTGTGGTCAGTAGTTGTGGTCAGGAGTTGTGTGCAGAAGTTGTGGTCAGTAGTTGTGGTCAGTATTTATGGTCTGTAGTTGTGGTGTTGTGGTAAGTAGTTGTGTGGTCAGTAGCTGTGTGGTTTTGGTCAGTAATTGTGCACAGTAGTTGTGGTCAGTGGTTCTGTGGTCGTGGTCAGTAGTTGTGGTCAGTGATTGTGGTCAGTAGTTTTGGTCAGGAGTTGTGGTCAGTAGTTGTGTGGTTCAGTAGTTGGTAGTTGTGTTGTTGTGGTCAGTAGTTGTAGTCAGTAGTTGTGGTCAGTAGTGGTCAGTAGTTTTAGTCAGTAGTCATGGTCAGTGGTGGTCAGTAGTTGTGGTCAGTAATTGTGTGGTTGTGGCCAGTAGTTGAATGATTGTGGTCAGTAGTTGTGGTCTGTAGTTGTGGTCAGGAATTGTGTTCAGTATTTGTGGTTAGTAGTTCTGGTCAGTAGTTATGGTCTATAGTTGTGGTCAGTAGTTGTAGTCAGTAGTTATGTTAGTAGTGGTCAGTAGTTGTGGTCAGTAGTTGTGTGGTTGTGGTCAGTAGTTGTGGTCAGGAAAGGTGTTCAGTAGTTGTGGTCAGTAGTTGTAGTCAGTAGTTATGGTTAGTAGTGGTCAGTAGTTGTGGTCAATAGTTGTGCGGTTGTGGTCAGTGTCTAAACTACAGTTGTTGCGTGTGAAAACTGAAAGACGTGCGATGAGAAGTGATCGGGTGAAATATGAAGTGAGTGAACAGAGACAGCTTCGCTCTATCCAATCAGAGCAGCAGGATCAACGTACAGCCCGCCCTTCTCTTTACAGACAGGCAAATTAGCCAGTTGAGTTATTTATAGCACGGGGCGCGATCCTTAGAAGGGGGACAAAGCTAGTGAGCATTAGAGATCTTCTCTGTATCATTCCAGGTCGTCCAGACCGGGGAAGAGTAGAAATCTTAGTGCTAGCTGTTCGGTCCAAAACAGATTCACAAATCATGGGAATTTGTCTCGCTATGAAGATGCTGTCTCCCTCCGAGGCATGTGTTGCTAGGCAACAGTTGGCTTGGCAGGCATGCTCCCTCCATGGCTAAAGCCAGTGTGAGAAACATGCTAGCAAACGTTTGTGCTATGAAACTAAATAAATACTGCACTCTGACCCACACAACTTCTTTGCTAGATTCATGATAGTGTTGTTAGACAAAGCAAGGAGAGTGAACTTCAAAATGTTTCAAAATGGAATTTGCAGCTGTTGTTGGTGAGTAATGAATCTGTTAGCTTCTGACATTGCTTACTGCATCTTTAATGAAAGCAGTCAATGGGTTACTAAAACAGCTCTTCCTATTGATTGGTAAAAGCTATTCCTGGTCTGCGTTCAGTTTTCAAAAGCAGAGAGGTAGAGGAAGATTTCATATGCTCTAAGTTTTTGACTGACTTGTTGGGGGAGTGATCAAAACGCAGGTTGTTTGGAAAAAAAATTGCTAATACAGTTACTAAAACAGCTGTATTGTTAGATTGGTAACATATAAATCTGTTCCAATTTCAGATTTGAATAGCAGGGAAGTAGACCAAGATGTCGTACCCTCTATATTTTAGTTGGCAAAGTGGTCAAAGTAGCTGATTTGTGTCAAAAGTAGCATTGCTGCATTTACAGTGGATGGAATGTTGAAAGTGATGGGGTCCTTTAGCATATTGAGGAAATCCCTTGAAAGTGGATGGAGGAAAAAAAAAAAAGACAACAGGTTTTATAGTTTAAAAAGTATAAAATATATTAAAAGGTTGTTTACAAGCAACTCAGCCCAGACCCGTCTGAATGTTTTAAAGTTTGAATGACATTTCTAGCTTAAATGGTATAAGGGTGTGCTAAAGAAAAAAAAGTATATTGAAGATTTAAAGTGGGGACTCCTTAACTAGCTAAAACAAGCCACCTGTGTTCATGCTTCTAGTCATTGTTGCTAGCTATCAGACTGATAACAATACACATCCTTTTGCATGTTTGTCGTGGCGTTGCCAACCCACTAGCCTGGGTACCAGTCTGTTTCTGCTAACATTCCACTCCTTGCATCTCATTTGCCATGTTTGGAGTGGAATGTTAGCAGAAACAGACTGGTACCCAGGCTACCAACCCACCTGTCTACTGGCAATTATCATCACATTACTGTGTGATAACGTTTACATATACAGTGGGGAGAACAAGTATTCGATACACTGCCGATTCTGCAGGTTTTCCTGCTTACAAATTATGTAGAGGTCTTTAATTTTTATCATAGATACACTTCAACTGTGAGAGACGGAATCTAAAACAAAAATCCAGAAAATCACATTGTATGATTTTTAAGTAATTAATTTGCATTTTATTGCATGACATAAGTATTTGATACGTCAGAAAAGCAGAACTTAATATTTGGTGCAGAAATCTTTGTTTGCAATTACAGAGATCATATGTTTCCTGTAGGTCTTGACCAGGTTTGCATACACTGCAGCAGGGATTTTGGCCCACTCCTCCATACAGACCTTCTCCAGATCCTTCAGGTTTCGGGGCTGTCACTGGGCAATACGGACTTTCAGCTCCCTCCAAATATTTTCTATTGGGTTCAGGTCTGGAGACTGGCTAGGCTACTCCAGGACCTTGAGATGCTTCTTACGGAGCCACTCCTTAGTTGCCCTGGCTGTGTGTTTCGGGTCATTGTCATGCTGGAAGACCCAGCCACGACCCATCTTCAATGCTCTTACTGAGGGAAGGAGGTTGTTGGCCAAGATCTCGCGATACATGGCCCCATCCATCCTCCCCTCAATACGGTGCAGTCATCCTGTCCCCTTTGCAGAAAAGCATCCCCAAAGAATGATGTTTCCACCTCCATGCTTCACGGTTGGGATGGTGTTCTTGGGGTTGTACTCATCCTTCTTCTTCTCCAAACACGGCGAGTGGAGTTTAGTCCAAAGAGCTCTATTTTTGTCTCATCAGACCACATGATTTTCTCCCATTCCTCCTCTGGATCATCCAGATGGTCATTGGCAAACTTCAGACGGGCTTGGACATGCGCTGGCTTGAGCAGGGGGACCTTGCGTGCGCTGCAAGGTTTTTTATCCATGACAGCGTAGTGTGTTACTAATGGTTTTCTTTGAGACTGTGGTCCCAGCTCTCTTCAGGTCATTGACCAGGTCCTGCCGTGTAGTTCTGGGCTGATCCCTCACCTTTCTCATGATCATTGATGCCCCACAAGGTGAGATCTTGCATGGAGCCCCAGACCGAGGGGGATTGACCGTCATCTTGAACTTCTTCCATTTTCTAATAATTGCGCCAACAGTTGTTGCCTTCTCACCAAGCTGCTTGCCTATTGTCCTGTAGCCCATCCCAGCCTTGTGCAGGTCTACAATTTTATCCCTGATGTCCTTACACAGCTCTCTGGTCTTGGCCATTGTGGAGAGGTTGGAGTCTGTTTGATTGAGTGTGTTTGCAGGTGTCTTTTATAGAGGTAACGAGTTCAAACAGGTGCAGTTAATACAGGTAATGAGTGGAGAACAGGCAGGTCTGTGAGAGCCGGAATTCTTACTGGTTGGTAGGTGATCAAATACTTATGTCATGCAATAAAATGCAAATTAATTACTTAAAAATCATACAATGTGATTTTCTGGATTTTTGTTTTAGATTACGTCTCTCACAGTTGAAGTGTACCTACAATAAAAATTACAGACCTCTACATGCTTTGTAAGTAGGAAAACCTGCAAAATCAGCAGTGTATCAAATACTTGTTCTCCCCACTGTATATATATATTTTTTTTAATGTTTTGTCATTTAGCAGACGCTCTTATCCAGAGTAACTTACAGTTAGTGCATACATTATTTTTTTCATACTGGCCCCCCATGGGAATCGAACCCACAACCCTGGCATGGCAAACGCCATGCTCTACCAACTGAGCTACATCCCTGCCGGCCATTCCCTCCCCTACGCTGGGCCAATTGTGCGCCGCCCCATGGGTCTCCCGGTCGCGGCCAGCTACGACAGAGCCTGTTCTGCCTGCGGTTACGAAACCCCTACCTGTCCCAGACCCGCTGTTTTCAACTCTTAATGATCGGCTATGAAAAGCCAACTGAGAGACCTGAGCCCTAGGACCATACGTCGGGACTACCGGCCGTGGTGACTCCTTGCTGTCCCCAGTCCGCCTGGCCTTGCTGCTATTCCAGTTTCAATTGTTCTGCCTGCGGTTATGGAACCCCTACCTGTCCCAGACCTGCTGTTTTCAACTCTTAATGATCGACTATGAAAAGCCAACTGAGATTTATTCCTGATTATTATTTGACCATGCTTGTCACTTATGAATATTTTTGAACATCTTGGCATGGTTCTGTTATAATCTCCACCCGGCACAGCCAGAAGAGGACTGGCCACCCCTCATAGCCTGGTTCCTCTCTAGGTTTCTTCCTAGGTTTTGGCCTTTCTAGGGAGTTTTTCCTAGCCACCGTGCTTCTACACCTGCATTACTAGCTGTTTGGGGTTTTAGGCTGGGTTTCTGTACAGCACTTCGAGATATTAGCTGATGTAAGAAGGGCTATATAAAATAAAATTGATTGATTGATTGATTGTCTTAGACCACTGCGCCACTCGGGAGACATACTGTAGTATTGGCCAAGTACAAACACATTATTTTCATTGATTCATCATTTCATTTATTTTAAAAGGGCAATGTTTCATTTCATTTTCACTTTATGCTTATGGTAAGGCAGGGGCTGGGCTAGGCAGAGCTGAGGTAATTAGCAGATGGGATTGCTTGGTTCTCCTGATTTGATCTATTGCCATGTTGTGCAAGGCTGGAGGGACTGCAGTACTATAGTCTTCAGTCATTTACCGTCCCAAAAACACACTTACTCGTACCAGGGTTGTTTACAGGCCCATACACTCGGCACACACACTCACTATCTCTTTCCCAGAATGAAATATTGAGATGGGACGAGAGGATTTAAAAATAGCCCCTGTGCAGTCCTCACAGCGCTGATGCCAAGCTACATGGTGAGAATACCACCGCCCGTCGTGCTGCAGCATGCTGCACTGCATAGCCCACAGGACCAGACAGAAAACAACCTGCCTTTTCTCTCTGTCTCTCTTTCCTCCGGCTCTCTGTCTATCTTTCGCTCTTTCCTCCTCCACTCTCTATCTCTCTCTTTGTCTTCCCCTCTCTCTCTGTCCCTCCTCATTCTGCTCACTCCCACACACATGTATGTTTGTGTGTATATATACAGTATGTATGTATGTATGTGTGTATATATACAGTATGTATGTATGTGTGTATACATTGGGGGAAAAAAGTATTTAGTCAGCCACCAAAGTTCTCCCACTTAAAAAGATGAGAGAGGCCTGTACTTTTCATCATAGGTACACGTCAACTATGACAGACAAAATTAGAATTTTTTTCTCCAGAAAATCACATTGTAGGATGTTTAATGAATTTATTTGCAAATTATGGTGGAAAATAAGTATTTGGTCAAAAACAAAAGTTTCTCAATACTTTGTTATATACCCTTTGTTGGCAATGACACAGGTCAAACGTTTTCTGTAAGTCTTCACAAGGTTTTCACACACTGTTGCTGGTATTTTGGCCCATTCCTCCATGCAGATCTCCTCTAGAGCAGTGATGTTTTGGGGCTGTCGCTGGGCAACACGGACTTTCAACTCCCTCCAAAGATTTTCTATGGGGTTGAGATCTGGAGACTGGCTAGGCCACTCCAGGACCTTGAAATGCTTCTTACGAAGCCACTCCTTCGTTGCCCGGGCGGTGTGTTTGGGATCATTGTCATGCTGAAAGACCCAGCCACGTTTCATCTTCAATGCCCTTGCTGATGGAAGGAGGTTTTCACTCAAAATCTCACGATACATGGCCCCATTCATTCTTTCCTTTACACGGATCAGTCGTCCTGGTCCCTTTGCAGAAAAACAGCCCCAAAGCATGATGTTTCCACCCCCATGCTTCACAGTAGGTATGGTGTTCTTTGGATGCAACTGAGCATTCTTTGTCCTCCAAACACGACGAGTTGAGTTTTTACCAAAAAGTTATATTTTGGTTTCATCTGACCATCATCCAAATGCACTCTAGCAAACTTCAGACGGGCCTGGACATGTACTGGCTTAAGCAGGGGGACACGTCTGGCACTGCAGGATTTGAGTCCCTGGCGGCGTAGTGTGTTACTGATGGTAGGCTTTGTTACTTTGGTCCCAGCTCTCTGCAGGTCATTCACTAGGTCCCCCCGTGTGGTTCTGGGATTTTTGCTCACCGTTCTTGTGATCATTTTGACCCCACGGGGTGAGATCTTGCGTGGAGCCCCAGATCGAGGGAGATTATCAGTGGTCTTGTATGTCTTCCATTTCCTAATAATTGCTCCCACAGTTGATTTCTTCAAACCAAGCTGCTTACCTATTGCAGATTCAGTCTTCCCAGCCTGGTGCAGGTCTACAATTTTGTTTCTGATGTCCTTTGACAGCTCTTTGGTCTTGGCCATAGTGGAGTTTGGAGTGTGACTGTTTGAGGTTGTGGACAGGTGTCTTTTATACTGATAACAAGTTCAAACAGGTGCCATTAATACAGGTAACGAGTGGAGGACAGAGGAGCCTCTTAAAGAAGAAGTTGCAGGTCTGTGAGAGCCAGAAATCTTGCTTGTTTGTAGGTGACCAAATACTTATTTTCCACCATAATTTGCAAATAAATTCATAAAAAATCCTACAATGTGATTTTCTGGATTTTTTTTCTCAATTTGTCTGTCATAGTTGACGTGTACCTATGATGAAAATTACAGGCCGCTCTCATATTTTTAAGTGGGAGAACTTGCACAATTGGTGGCTGACTAAATACTTTTTTTCCCCACTGTACATACAGTATGTATGTATGTATATTATTTTACTGCTCTAGGGATATAATTATTGTTATAACCTTATTTACTATTATGTATAGACTTTTACTGTAATCTTTTTTCACTCTTTATGCGATGTGCAATGCAGAGAACACCGTAAGAAGAATTGTCATTGAATTACCACAGTGAATTATTGTAGTGTTTATTTATGTGTCAATTTATCCCATAAGGCATGGGTTGCCAATTGGCAATTTGACACAAAAATAAAATGTCATTCATTTTCATTAATTCATTCCATCCATTCCCTGACTCTATGTCTCTTTTTGATTTCCCTGTCTTTCACAGCCTCCCTTGAAAACATATTTCAATAGGCTACTTGATTTGTATGCAGTAGAATGCAAAGGACTCAATTATTTTGGAGATCACGCAGATGCTTTGACTAGGGAGGCATTATGACTTATGATGGACACACTCAAACACACACACACACACACACACACACACACACACACACACACACACACACACACACACACACACACACACACACACACACACACACACACACACACACACACACACACACACACACAGAAACACACCAGTGTGTCATGTTAAACAGGTCTATATTGGCCTAGGTTGACCAGCCAGGTCACCCGTGATACAACTCAGTGTTTGACGTCCATCCATGTCTGAGGATGTCAGGCGATGACATGGAAACTGGCCACTAGGGGCAACAGTGAGCGCTGTTACCTTCCAGTAGGTGGGTGTAAGCATCTGCCTCTGATTCCAAAGGTTGCAATTTGAAATCCAGCAATAGAAAGTTATTTTTGTTTTAAGCCTATCCCAAACCTTAACCCTTACCTTAACCATTTGGAGTTAATGCCTAACCTTAAGATTTCGGAGTTAATACCTAAACTTAACCATAAACACTTCAAAATTTGACATTTGCAACAACTAATCTAATTCTGACATGAGAATGTGAGAGCTAGTTGAGGTTGACTGTGTGTGTGTGTGTTGTGCCCCTGATGATAGTAACAGCCATTTAACAGCCAGGCCGCTATATAAATAGCCGGAGATAAGAGAAGAACAGTCATGTAGGCTACTGCTGCTGGTGAAAAACAAATGATGTCCTCACACTCCCCTTCTTCATTCTCTCATTCTCTCTCTCTCGCTCTCTCTCTCTCTCTCTCTCTCTCTCTCTCTCTCTCTCTCTCTCTCTCTCTCTCTCTCTCTCTCTCTCTCTCTCTCTCTCTCTCTCACTCTCTCTCTCACTCTCTCCCTCCTTCCCTCCTCCGTCCCCTTCCAGGGGTATGGTGTGCTTCAGCGCTGGAGGTTTCAGTGGGGAAGGTGCCCTTCATGGAGGCAATGAACGGCAGCACGGTGCTGTTACCCTGCACCTACTCCAGCTGCATTGGCATCAAGAACCTCTACTTCAACTGGCACTACAACGACAACGGCACCATGATGAAGGCAAGACACTGACTGAGAGGAGTTATCTCCGTCACTAACACCCCCTCAATGAGCAATGTGACATCCCACTCATATCTAAACATCTCTCCCCTCACCCCTGTTCTCCACCTCTTTCCCCCTCTCCCTCTCCCTCTCCCTCTCCCTCTCCCTCTCCCTCTCCCTCTCCCTCTCCCTCTCCCTCTCCCTCTCCCTCTCCCTCTCCCTCTCCAGCTGTGTGAGGCAGTGATACCTATAGAAGGTATGGAACCACGGGTGCAGGTGTACCACGAGCGGATAGAGTTTGTGGGCAGCAGTAAGCACAACAACATCTCCATCCTGCTGTTCAACGTGACCTTCGAGGATGAGGGAGAGTACACCTGTTTCGCGCGGAACCCCAAGGAGAAGAATCGCAACCATAGCGCCATCTTCACCCTGTTTGTGGTGGATGAGTGTAAGACGCTGCACACTCCCTGAATGCATACGACATACTCATTGATTACATTTTCATACCTTAGGTATAGGCCACCCAGTCACCAGTCTTTTTGATGCCTTCAAGTGGAAGTATGGGCAAATATCTGATTCATTTGTTATGTAACTAAGTTCCACATTGTATAATAGCTGAAGAATACCCTGATATCAGTTCCATGGTCAAGTGTTATGTTGCAACATTATTTATTTATTGTCCAACCGAATGTGTTGATTGTGGTGTATACACAGTATACACTACAATCAATTCCTTGGAGGTAAAAGCTATATGGAAATGTATCATATCTCCTCAAGAGCGGATCAATCCATCTTCCAGCGCTGTGGTTGTGAGACTGACCACACCTTCTCTTTCCTCCCCTCCTTGAATCTTTACAGATACACCTTTGACATAATGTCAAAGATCTGCATCAAATTACTTCTTCATATTCTCCTAGAACGTACACCTGACTATCATTATAGGGAAACAGCTGAATACTCATCTTACAGAACCCTCTCTTCCTCTCACCATCCCATTCCTCCCTCCCTTCCACACTCTCTCTTGTCTTATCCACCTCCTCTCCCCAGTGAAAGTGGTTGACAATACCGTAACCACCATCATCGTGTCTGTCGTGGGCGGAGTCATTGGCTTGATCATCGTTGTCATGGTGACAAAGACTCTGGTGCTCCTCATCCTAAAAAAGTCTGCAGAGAAGAAGTAAGAGATGACAACTCAGTTGTATAAGTGATGACAACGCAGTTTTATAAGTGATGACAACTCAGTTGTGTAAGTGATGACAACTCAGGTGTATAAGTGATGGCAGAGTATGCAGTTAGTATGTATTATATGAGTGTGTGTGGCAAAAAAAAAATATAGACATTTCAGATACAGAGATAGCGCACACACACACAGGCTGGGAGCAGCACAGGATCAGCCACAGAGTGGTGTCCATTGAGCTGTTTGGGAGTTAAGTGACTTGCTCAAGGGCATCTGAGATATTAATGCCAGCAACCCTCTGGTTGCCAGCTCACCCCCTTCACATTTTTCCCGTCAGCGCTGGGATTCGAACCGACAGCTCTTCGGCTACCGCCTCCCCCCTTTGAACATTGGTATGCATGCCTTTATCAACATTTCTTTACCTGCCTTTTGTTCTTCACACTGACTCTGACCTTCTCTCTCTCTCTCTCTCTCTCTCTCTCTCTCTCTCTCTCTCTCTCTCTCTCTCTCTCTCTCTCTCTCTCTCTCTCTCTCTCTCTCTCTCTCTCTCTCTCTCTCTCTCTCTCTCTCTCTCTCTCTCTCTCTCTCTCCTCTCACAGTAAAGAGTGCCTTGTGAGCTCAGGACAGGACAACACAGAAAATGGACTCAACACAACCAAAGCGGAGAACAAAGCCACACCAAAGGCTTGAAACATGTGTACCTATGTATATGTACATATATGTCTGCACATGTATATAAATTGAAGTCGGAATACACCTCAGCCAAATACATTTAAACTCCTGTTTTTCACAATTCCTGACATTTAATACTAGTAAAAATTCCCTGTCTTAGATCAGTTAGAATCACCACTTTATTTTAAGAATGCGAAATGTCCGAATAATAGTAGAGAGAATGATTTAATTCAGCTTTTATTTCTTTCATCACATTCCCAGTGGGTCAGAAGTTTACATACACTCAATTAGTATTTGATAGCATTGCCTTTAAATTGTTTAACTTAGGTCAAACGTTTCGGGTAGCCTTCCACAAGCTTCCCACAATAAGTTGGGTGAATTTTGGCCCATTCCTCCTGACAGAGCTGGTGTAACTGAGTCAGGTTTGTAGGCCTCCTTGCTCCCACACGCTTTTTCAGTTCTGCCCACACATTTTCTATAGGATTGAGGTCAGGGCTTTGTGATGGCCACTCCAATACCTTGACTTTGTTGTCCTTAAGCCATTTTGCCACAACTTTGGAAGTATGCTTGGGGTCATTGTCCATTTGGAAGACCCATTTGCGACCAAGCTTTAACTTCCTGACTGATGTCTTGAGATGTTGCTTCAATATATCCACATAATTGTCCTTCCTCATGATGCCATCGATTTTGTGTAGTGCACCAGTCCCTCCTGCAGCAAAGTACCCCCAGAGCATGATGCTGCCACCCCTGTGTGTCACGGTTGGGATGGTGTTCTTCGGCTTGCAAGCAACCCCCTTTTTACTCCAAACATAACAAAGGTCATTATGGCCAAACAGTTCTATTTTTGTTTCATCAGACCAGAGGACATTTCTCCAAAAAGTACGATCTTTGTCCCCATCTGCAGTTGGAAACCATAGTCTGGCTTTTTATGGCGGTTTTGAAGCAGTGGCTTCTTCCTTGCTGAGTGGCCTTTCAGGTTATGTCGATATAGGACTTATTTTACTGTGGATATAGATACTTTTGTACCTGTTTCCTCCAGCTTCTTTACAAGGTCCTTTGCTGTTGTTCTGGGATTGATTTGCACTTTTCGCACCAAAGTATGTTCATCTCTAGGAGACAGAATGCATCTCCTTCCTAAGCGGTATGACGTCTGCGTGGTCCCATGGTGTTTATACTTGCGTATTATTGTTTGTACAGATGAACATGGTACCTTCAGGCGTTTGGAAATTGCTCCCAAGGATGAACCAGACTTGTGGAGGTCTACCATTTTTTTTCTGAGGTCTTGGCTGATTTCTTTAGATTTTCCCATGATGTCAAGCAAAGAGGCACTGAGTTTGAAGGTAGGCCTTGAAATACATCTACAGGTACACCTCCAATTGACTCAAATGATGTCAATTAGCCTATCAGAAGCTTGTAAAGCCATGACATCATTTTCTGGAATTTTCCAAGCTGTTTAAAGGCACAGTCAACTTAGTGTATGTAAACCTTTGACCCACTGTAATTGTGATGCAGTGAATTATAAGTGAAATAATCTGTCTGTAAACAATTGTTGGAAAAATGACTTGTGTCATTCACAAAGTAGATGTCCTAAATGACTTGCCAAAACTATAGTTTGTTAACAAGAAATTTGTGGAGTGGTTGAAAAATGAGTTTTAATGACTCCAACCTAAGTGTATGTAAACTTCCGACTTCAACTGTATGTACACATGCAAATATATTGAACAGACATCGAAAGAAAGCTATTATCAATGGACTGTTTTATCTTTATTTAATGACAAAAGTATAACATAAACCAATGTGAAATAATATATAAATTGTATATTTTAAATTGTGCTTGAGATTTGGGGAACAAGATAGGTGATCAGGGCTGGATCAGACACACTCCAATGACACACCCTAAATATTGTGTATCCAGATTGGGGTTTATTGAAGTATTTATCTAATCGGCTCAAAGCCTATTTACGAACATTTCTGGAATCAACATCGACGTCTCACCAGTTACTCATTCATTTACACCACATAAAAACAGCAGGTTGATGTTTATTGGGATGAACATTGTCTTCGGGGCAGAGCTGAGCGGTTTCCGCTAGATTTAAGGTTAGGGTTAGGCATAAGGTTAACAGTGTTATTAAGGTCAGGGTTAAGGTTAGGTTTAAAACAGAGGAGCCTGGTGGGAGGCGCTGGAGGAGGATGGGCTCGTTGTAATGGCTGGAATGGAATTAATGGAATGGAGTCAAACGTGGTTTCCATAAGTTTAATGTGTTTGATACTTTTCCATTTATTCCATTCCAGTCATTACAATGAGCCCGTCCTCCTATAGATCTTCCTACTAGCCTCCTCTGGTTTAAAATCAGATTTTATGACTTTGTGGCTAGGCCAGATAGTGACCACCCTGCAGAGCTGCCTGCAGGACAAGATTCATCCCAATAAATGCCAACCTGCATAAAAACACACACACACACACACACAGTAACTCACAGACTGCCAAGTTGTACTAACTGCCATATTTTATGCTCTACAACAGCACAATATACTCTGACCATCTGTACAGCTCTTTTGATTAAGACACATATTTAAGGTAGCCTACTGCCCGATGGAGATTCTTTGTACTCTCTGCAAACCTTTTACAGGGAGCAAACAGCTTCCCTCCTTTAACTAGGAAGGTAATGTTTACAGTCCATTTTTGACGAAAAGGTTATTCCTTTAAAGATGATGCAGAACAAATTCCATACAGTATCAATTGTGCCTATTCAATAGGATATACAGTAACTGAAAGATGTTTACCACTATTATCAACAACTGCTACAGTTCCTGAGGTCAAGACTCTTCATTAGATCTGCAAACTGAATACAAATACTGTTCTGAAGCTTTGGCAGGCAAAGCAGTGGGCTGGTTATGAGGACAATGCCACTGCGGAGGAATGGAATGTGATAAAGGAGAAGCAGAAGGGAGTCATTGGAGTGTAGAATAGATCCAGCCCGAAACTGGTTGGATTCATTTTTGCATTAGATGAAACACAGGTGCCTGTTTTCACTTCCCGCTCCCTTCGCTTTTAGGTAGCCTTAAAACCGCTGTGAAAACCACACAAAAAAACCACACAAAAAAACACAGAAAATATATAAAGATCAAAACCTAAACTAAAGACTATTCCCAGAAACCATTTCCCTATAGAAATGAATTAACGTTTATGATGCTGCTTCTAACAAATAACCAATGCATTTTTTTAGCATGTGAATGTTGTTTATATATATACCACAGGGAAGACTGCTGTCTAGGGTTCTGTCCTCACCTGGCCTGTATGTATAGTGAATATGTAGGCTACTTGCAGTTTATTTATATCCACTTAATTTGATGTAAACCCCCATAGGACTAACATGTTAATGTGGCTATTGGCCTATTACAGGATAATGCCCTCCAACTTCAATTCTGCAAAACATTGTATTGATGACTCTGATGCCAACTACCAAGCTGACTCATCATCGATACCCCTTGATGTATTCAAATCCGTCGCCATATGAACCAAAAGGCCCACTACTGATATGCATGATTCTTTATGAATATCCACTGTTGTGCTCCAAAATAGAGACAGCTGTGGGAGTATGAGTTTGAGCTATGGAACGCAATGACTCAAGTTCTACAAAGATCCATTGTCACTCATCAAAGCATTCCCTTATGACTCTGTCCCCTCAATAATTAATGTGATATTGCCTCGCTAATGAAAATCATGCAATTCTCAAAGCGATCATATCCCATGAGAAACTAGGCAAAGCCATAATTTATCTGTTTAAATGTATTTATTTCAAACTCACAGTTGCCATTTGAAATGACAACCACGCCTCTCTACATCTATATGTGTATAAAGTAACATTGTAATTGAAGAGCTAGAACTATAAATGAATGTCCACTTCGTAGGGTTTATTCATCTGAGATGAAAATAGGCCCCTCCATCTCCTCTCCACACCTCTCCTCGCCCTAAGATAATAAAATGTACAGGGGTTTAGGGAGAGGTTGGTGCTGTAGACTTAGGAAGGGTATTATAGGCACTTTACTCATATAGAGTATCCTTATGAATATCTAGAATGTGGTTGATGTGAGGAATATAGAGAGGTGTGCTAGTAGACTTTGCAGGGAGGGTGATGGTTGCCTGGTTGATTATAACCATATTGTGTGTGGTGATAGTGAGATAAAGAGTTAGAGATGGACAACTAGTCTGTCCAGGGATAATCCATTCTAGGGATAATCCATTCTAGGGACAATCCATTCTAGGGATAATCCATTCTAGGGATAAACCATTCTAGGGATAATCCATTCTAGACCTCCTCCTTCTATTCCCTCACCATGTTGAGGTTAGCACGTTTGGAAAGGTCTTCCATATCACTTGACCTACAGTACCTTTTTTTTTTTTTTATACCAGGGGCCCTGGTGACATGGAGAGCCAGGGAATAATTTCAGACATGGCACTGCCATACCAATATCCCATGGTTGTGATTTTGATTCTATATGATCATTTGATGGATGTAGTAGTGGCACTGGACTTACTTTTGCCATGTAATGTCTTAGCTGGTTGGATTCATTTTTGCATTAGATGAAACACAGGTGCCTGTTTTCACTTCCCGCTCCCTTCGCTTTTAGGTAGCCTTAAAACCGCTGTGAAAACCACACAAAAAAACCACACAAAAAAACACAGAAAAATATATAAAGATCAAACCTAAACTAAAGACTATTCCCAGAAACCATTTCCCTATAGAAATGAATTAACGTTTATGATGCTGCTTCTAACAAATAACCAATGCATTTTTTTAGCATGTGAATGTTGTTTATATATATACCACAGGGAAGACTGCTGTCTAGGGTTCTGTCCTCACCTGGCCTGTATGTATAGTGAATATGTAGGCTACTTGCAGTTTATTTATATCCACTTAATTTGATGTAAACCCCCATAGGACTAACATGTTAATGTGGCTATTGGCCTATTACAGGATAATGCCCTCCAACTTCAATTCTGCAAAACATTGTATTGATGACTCTGATGCCAACTACCAAGCTGACTCATCATCGATACCCCTTGATGTATTCAAATCCGTCGCCATATGAACCAAAAGGCCCACTACTGATATGCATGATTCTTTATGAATATCCACTGTTGTGCTCCAAAATAGAGACAGCTGTGGGAGTATGAGTTTGAGCTATGGAACGCAATGACTCAAGTTCTACAAAGATCCATTGTCACTCATCAAAGCATTCCCTTATGACTCTGTCCCCTCAATAATTAATGTGATATTGCCTCGCTAATGAAAATCATGCAATTCTCAAAGCGATCATATCCCATGAGAAACTAGGCAAAGCCATAATTTATCTGTTTAAATGTATTTATTTCAAACTCACAGTTGCCATTTGAAATGACAACCACGCCTCTCTACATCTATATGTGTATAAAGTAACATTGTAATTGAAGAGCTAGAACTATAAATGAATGTCCACTTCGTAGGGTTTATTCATCTGAGATGAAAATAGGCCCCTCCATCTCCTCTCCACACCTCTCCTCGCCCTAAGATAATAAAATGTACAGGGGTTTAGGGAGAGGTTGGTGCTGTAGACTTAGGAAGGGTATTATAGGCACTTTACTCATATAGAGTATCCTTATGAATATCTAGAATGTGGTTGATGTGAGGAATATAGAGAGGTGTGCTAGTAGACTTTGCAGGGAGGGTGATGGTTGCCTGGTTGATTATAACCATATTGTGTGTGGTGATAGTGAGATAAAGAGTTAGAGATGGACAACTAGTCTGTCCAGGGATAATCCATTCTAGGGATAATCCATTCTAGGGACAATCCATTCTAGGGATAATCCATTCTAGGGATAAACCATTCTAGGGATAATCCATTCTAGACCTCCTCCTTCTATTCCCTCACCATGTTGAGGTTAGCACGTTTGGAAAGGTCTTCCATATCACTTGACCTACAGTACCTTTTTTTTTTTTTTATACCAGGGGCCCTGGTGACATGGAGAGCCAGGGAATAATTTCAGACATGGCACTGCCATACCAATATCCCATGGTTGTGATTTTGATTCTATATGATCATTTGATGGATGTAGTAGTGGCACTGGACTTACTTTTGCCATGTAATGTCTTAGCTTTAGAGAACACAAGGTAATAGTCAAAAGTTTGGACACACCTACTCATTCAAGGGTTTTTCTTTATTTCTACAATTTTTTACATTGTAGAATAATAGTGAAGACATCAAAACTAGGAAACAACACATATGGAATTATTCATACTATCACGTTTCAGGAGAAGACCCAGATGCAGACAGTGTCGAAGTAACAAAAGTTTATTGCAAAAACAAGGGGCAGGCAAACGACAGGTCAAGGGCAGGCAGAGGTCAGTAATCCAGATCAGAGTCCAAAAGGTACAGAACGGCAGGCAGTCTCAGGGTCAGGGTAAATAATCCAGGGTGGTGTGACAAGGTACAGAACGGCAGGCAGGCCCATGGTCAGGGCAGGCATAATGCTCAAAACATGGAAAACTAGAAAACAGGAGACAAAGGGCTGTGAGACATGGGTTTGACCCTATACACATGAAAAGTGGGATGTATATGGAGGGTACGGGGCAACAGAAGACCAGCAGAGGGGCTAATGATCCTGGAGATGGGGGAAATGTGTGGGACTCCACCCAGAGGGGCAGATCTCAGGTGGACAGCCCGAGACGATACCTGGGAGCCGGGGTACGGTGGCGGTCCGCTTGTCGTCGAAAGCTGGAGGTGGTCTTGAGAAGAGCCGACTGGGCTCTCCTCCAGGTACGACGACAGCGGCGGACACCATCTGGGCCGAGGGTATGACGACCTCTTCCTCTTGCTCCGGGAAGAGCGGGGGCTGATAACCCAGGGAACACTCAAAGGTCAAAAGACCTGTGGCAGAGCAGGGAAGGGTGTTGGGGGCGTATTCGACCCACACTAGTTGCTGGCTCTAGGTGGTGGGGTTGTCGGAGACCAGGCAGCGGAGAGTCGTCTCCAGGTCTTGGTTGGCTCGCTCCGACTGGCCGTTGGACTGAGGGTGAAAACCGGAGGATAGGCTGGCCGACGACCCATTGAGTGTGCAGAACGCCTTCCAGAACCGGGCCGAGAACTGAGGACCCCGGTCGGAGACCATGTCCACTGGAAGTACATGGATCCGGAAGACGTGCTGCACCATGAGCTGGGCCGTCTCTTTGGTGGAGGATAGTTTGGAGAGAGGAATTAATTGGGCGGCTTTGGAAAACCAGTCCACAACAGTCAGGATGGCGGTGTTGCCATCAGATGGGGGAAGACCCGTGACAAAGTCCAGGGATATGTGAGACCAGGGATGGTGAGGAACAAGCAGAGGTTGGAGGAGACCAGCCGGAGCTTGCCGAGGAGTCTTGTTCTGTGCACAGATTGCCATGTCAGCAGCTGGGGACCATGTGAACGGAACCTTGGGAGAGGTAAGTGCAGACAGGGGGGAAACCAGAGTGCTGTAACCCCGGATAAAGCGGCGATAAAAGTTGGCGAATCCCAGGAAACATTGCAACTGCACTCTGGACGTAGGCTGGGACCAATCAACCACCGCTCTCCCCTTCCCAGGATCTATCTGTACACTCCCTGCAGCGATGATGTAGCCCAGGAAGGGGATGGTGTAGCGATGGAATTCACATTTCTCCACTTTCACGAAAAGCTGGTTCTCCAGGAAGCGTTGGAGGACATGTCAGAAGTGGAGCATGTGTTCTTGGGAGGAGCAGGAGAAGACGAGGATGTCGTCGAGGTAGACGAAGACGAACCGGTTCCACATGTCGCAGAGAACATCATTAACCAAGGCCTGGAACACAGCTGGAGCGCTGGTAAGGCCAAATGGTATGACCAGATACTCGTCTTAACTGCTTACCGTGTTGAAGGCAGTCTTCCACTTGTCCCCCTCCTGTATCCGCACCAGGTGGTAGGCGTTCCGTTGGTCTAGCTTGGAGAACATGTTGGCCCCCTGGAGCGGCTGAAAGGCTGGGATGCCTCGGAGGCGAGGTGGAATCGGACTTCCTCTCATTCCGAATGGTCAAGGCGATGAGTGAGTCGAGATCCGCCGGTAGTTCCCGGACTGCAAGCTCGTCCATAACTTCCTCCGATACTCTGTGTAGGAATGTGTTGAACAGCGCTTCCGGGTTCCAGGCACACTCTGCTGCCAATGTGCGGAAATCCACTGCATAGTCTGCCACACTGCGGGATTCTTGCTGAAGCTGGAATAATTCCGGGCATCGAAAACCTTCTTTACCTCCCGCATGAACTCCTCCAGAATGAAGCATACGGCCGACTGTTGTTTCCACACTGCCATAGCCCAGGCGAGAGCCCTCGCCGGACATCAGTGTGATAAGGTACGCTACCTCCGGGGGAGGTGGCTTCTTGAGAGGAAAGAGCTGGTCCGAGTCTGCTGGGTCAGTCATGGCCAGTTCGTACTATCCCGTTTCAGGAGAAGACCCAAATGCAGACAGTGTCAAAGTAACAAAAGTTTATTACAAAAACAGGGGGCAGGCAAACAACAGGTCAAGGGCAGGCAGAGGTCAGTAATCCAGTGTGGTGTGACAAGGTACAGAACGGCAGGCAGGCTCAGGGTCAGGGCAGGCAGAATGGTCAAACCCGGGAAAACTAGAAAACAAGAACTTGAGAAAGACAGGAGCAAGGGGAAAAACGCTGGTAGGCTTGACGAAAAACAAAACGAACTGGCAACAGACAAACAGAGAACACAGTGATAAATACACTGGGGATAATGGGGAAGATAGGCGACACCTGGAGGGGGGTGAAGACAATCACAAAGACTGGTGAAACAGATAAGGGTGTGACACATACGTACCGATGTTTAATAGAAGCAATAAGGTTGACAACTTTAATTTGCTATTGTGGTAGTAAAACAGATGATGCAATAACCAGCTCATGAACCTAGATATTGGGTATGGTGGCGTGCTGCCTGTTCTATGCACTGATGTACCAACTGTTTGTATTTGTTACGAACCCCGTGTTGGTCAATGGTGGCTCTCCTGTCCATTGTATTACCCCGTAGAAAACCAGAGACACACAGAGACATGCACACACACACACACATTATTGGTTCCATGTAAAGTCAGTGAACCATTACTCCTTTGACATTGGAGAAAAGCGCGCAAAGCCTGCCTCTGGGAGAAAAGCAATACTATTCAGTTGATCCTTGTCTTTTAGTGTCTTTGTATAATCAAGCCTCTGTTGATGTATTCAGAAGGATCATGTCGATGAAGAAAATGATCTATAAGGCTAGTTAATGTGTTTGTATTCATTGTCCCTCCTGTAACTTTAATCAGATCCGAGAATGTCCAAAACTACCATCAGTATTGAATGTCTTGTGTGTTACTAAGTACAGAGTTATCCTTCACTGTTCACTGCTTCAGTATCTCTAGGAGAACACTGTCTGTTCAAGCCCCTCAGTATGTGCAGTTCCACAAGCTCTGAGCTCGACTAGCCATGTCTGAGCTGATATCCACAAGCTATGAGCTTGATTGTGCATGTCTGAGCTGTGGGGTGCAGCAGTGAGCATGCCCAGTGTAGTGCTTCTCTGGAGGCAGTCGCATAGCCGCAGTGATGCATTGTGGACCGCATGTTATGTTAGACTAAAAGCAGCAATCAGCTCAAGCCTGCATCACCGTGGCAGATCCACACAACTCACCCTGTGAACCAACGTCTCAGGCAACACAGACTAACAGCATGGCTGGTAGTATAATGGGTATTGATACACAACAGTATTATTAAGCACTATTTGATACACTCTTATCACACTTGCACAACCATGAAATGAAACAAATTATGTCATGTGTCCGTCAGTATTGATACCCTGTGCACGTTGTGACAGTACATAGAAATACAGGAAGCATCCAATGATGATTCACTGCTTTAGTATTACAGCAAAAACCTGGAAAATGATACAGAGCTATAGCTCACGTTCAATGTTATCAAAATACTGATCTACCATGGGAAATCCAATCAACTCTAATACAAGCTTTGAATTCTCTGCAGCTCAAATAAGAATACTCCAATTTGCTAACAATGCATTGTAGATTACATTGCTACAATGTACTGTATATTTATTCAACAGAAAGATCAACAATGACAGTCAGTGGACATAAATATAAATCTGTCCACTCAGTCCTAACATTGTCTGCTTCTTATATAATAGATGTAAAAATCATCTGATTTGATACTAATATGGGTTTCCTGCAGCCCACTGCCGGAGCGACTCCTACTCACACTGCCAAGCCAAGAGTTTGTGAAGTCTGCTCTCTGCTTCCCACATTCCAGTGCAGAGAACACCCCCTGCTCCAACCTGCAGTATACTGTACAGTACAACACACGTCCTCTGGCCAAACTGCATTTTAAAATGCCTTTTCTAAAGGCTCAGTTGTGCACTGTTTTAGCCCACCAAGGCCAAGTGAAACAAACAAGCAAAAAAATATATATATTTTAATCCTTATTACAATGGGTGTGTATGTGCATTTGTAGCCAACTCATGCTACCCACATCACAGTTTACTCTACAGTCAAATAGATAGGACTTTTACTCTGAGCTCATAGGTAGCCAGGTTACTACCTGTTAGGATCACAACACACACATAAAGGTGTACACAGTTATTACCCATCATCCTCTACTCCAAGGAGCTGTCCAGGGTTCTGAGGAGGGGCTGTTTTCACTCCCACACTGGCCTCACCCACAGCGTTACTGTCTGTGGGTAGGAGTCACTAGATGGCCAGGCTTGAATGGACTCAAGTTGCAATATCATCCTAACTGATGACTAAGTACAGCACATTTGCTATTTGTAATTGGGTTTAAAGAGTGCTGTACTTCCGTAATGTCTTGCTAAATTGTAACGACCACTGTCGAGCCCAAGCTGAGTATGAGGGCTAATGTGGCTCGTGCAGAAGAAAACAGCTCGCCCTCTTACCTACCAAAACATACACACCCACTTACTGTGAGGCAGTCAATGACTGACCGAACTCAATTTCCTCGGTCTCTAATATGATGTTTCCTTTAAGAACTATAAAGTGAATGTGCAACACCACCTACTATTCCTCTGTTTCTGTAATAATGTCCCACATTCTCCCCTCTCATAACTATGCACCTCAATAGTTTTTTCTCTGGATTGTAGAACAAAGTATATATATATATATATATATATATATATATATATATATATATATATATATATATATATATACAGGAAATAAAGGTTTGCATAAAAGGAGTTACTGTTGTAGATGTGTCGGTTTGTTGCTGTGGCTGTGGAGTAACTTTATTGTTACTACTGTCTTGTAACTTCCCCATATAGCCCACTGGATGACACAGGCTTACATGTCATTGATACAGGGTTTAGACATTACAATCAGACACTGCCGAGACATCCCATTACTCACAGTTCATCACAATCCTAATCTGATAATTTATTTATTGAACACAGGCATCCCTTTATCAAACATGCCAACAATACGTGCAATAAGACACATTCTTATCTTACACAGACAACCATTTCTACATAGTATACAATATTTACAGATATACAAAGAAACACTAAATGTTCACAATGTCAAAAAAAAACACACGCCATTAATCAGAACCTTGTACATGTGCATATTGGTGCAAGCAGGGATTATTCCAATTGCACACTGGAAATATGTTGGCACACAGTGAGTAGGTCTGACCACCTGAAAGTGCACAAGTGAATCCATGATGGGATGTACAGGACGGTTATTGGAGGAGGCATAATGGCCCCTCCATTGACATATAATCTGAAGAGAGGTTCATGTCTCAGCACCATATGTCCCAAATGGCCCCCTATTCCCTTGATAGTGCACTACTTTTACCCCATAGCGTTCTGATCAAAAGTAGTGCACTATAAAGGCAATAGGGGGCCATTTGGGACGCAGACCCAGACCGACTGTCGTCTTAAGCGACAGTGTTACACTACCACGTCAGTGGTCCCTGAGATACCTAAGATGGCACAAGCCACACCGTAAATAACCTGTTATGGTAAAGAAGGAGTGTTGAGTGTGTCCATGTGTGTTTTTGTCCTTGCACTTTTGTGCCTATCTGAGTGTGCGGGCATGTGTGTGTGTTTGTTTGAGTTATGTATTGTTGTAGGTGTTTTAAATTGCACTTTGAAGAGGATTCCTCTTCCATTCCACTAACAGAGCTCAATGTAGATCCGCTGAAATCCATTCTGATACCCCAACCCAATAGAGCATTGGCTTTTGGTCCCGGTTTGAGGCTTCAAGGGTTTTTCTAGAACAATAAAGTACACATGGTCAAACCATTACAGTGTACAATACACTATTATTAGTCTTTGTTTTCAGGGCAGCAGCATATAACATCTAGACTTTACATAGAACAAAGTAAAAATAAACAATATTAAAATACACTAGCTCCTTGCCTCTCCTGTGTGAGCATACATACCTCCATGACAGTGTGGATCCAGTTGAGCATACTGTCCACGTTGCAGTAGACCCCTGGTCGACCCTCTCTGGCACAGCCGACCCCCCAACTCACCACCCCCACCAGCTGCCATTGTCCTGACAGGTACACCAGAGGACCACCACTGTCTCCCTACAACAAATGACCCCACAATGGCATTAGGTACACTGGAATTACACACTATACACGTATGCCAGTGGCCAAAGTTGAGGGTGGATATTCAATACTCAATAGAGTGTTATAAGGTCTTCCCATTTATTTTCTTACAGGACAAGGCATTGAATGTATTCACGCCAAAATCTATCTTAGTTTCTCTTCTGTTTTTCTCAAAGCAAACATTCTACTTTATACCTGACATGCATCCACTTTGCCCTCCAGGTAACCAGCGCAAAGCATCCTGGGAGTAATTGAGGAACCGTAGACAGTGGGACTGGAGCACTGATCACTGTCTATAAGGGGAATGGTAGCCTTCTGGAGGACAGGAGACACTTTACCTGAGGAGAGAGAAAAGATGACAGAGTGATGAGAAGGAGAAGAGGAGAAAGTGACTATTAACATTATGTGAGAATGATTTGAGTGTATGTGCTTATTGGATAGAGATGAAGAGGGTGATAAAAGGGAAGGGGTAGTATTGTTTGCTGTATGCTCACCCTTCTCCTCCAGGTAGCCCCAGCCTGTCACCGCCATAGAGTCTCCTGCCTTCAGGCCCAGGTTCTTAGGGGGCAAACACACGGGCCGACGAGTGTCTGGTGGAGGAAACATAACTGTAAATGTACTTCTTCATAAATAAATCACAGCCTACTCTCATTACAATCTAAATGTACAGTATTTCCCTAGAGGGATTTCCCATGTTGCAAGACCCATTGAAATGGACAGTTTGATAAATTGGCCACTAGAGGTCAGAATCTACCATGAATGCATTCTCTCTTCCTCGAATCAAACTGCTTTTACAAGTACATATTTCCATATCATTATGTAGTGCTGTACCATTCATTTTTGAGAGTGCTGAGAAATGTTCTTCATGGTAAGTCATTCAAAACCAGAATAGGTCGATGTGGGGCTTTTGTTATGTCTAGCCTTTGAGAAACCTGGAATTGTCCAGCAAATTCAGTACCACAGTCTGTGTGTTGCTAAAATGTAACGTTGGGGAAGTGACATACTTCCTACAGTGATGGGTTTGGTCAGCCTCATCATGGCCATATCGTAGTCATTGCGGGCTGCGTTGTAGTCTCCATTCAGTATGATCCTGTCTACATACGAGCCTCCCATGGAGCCCATGTAAGTCCTCCCAGACACCACCAGCCAGCGACTCAGCTCCTTCTTACTACTGTAGGACCAGGAGAGGAAAGAGATACAGGGGTTAGCAGCAAGGCCTCTGTCTCTATCTCCAGATGCTTAAGCATATTATACGATTGCAGACTTTGTGGGATTTTCCACGTTGGATGGTCAGAGTTAGATCGTTAATGTCTGGTTAAGCTAGTTGTAGATATCCAGAGTAGATATTCACACATTCTACAGTGTATATAATTTTCAATTTTTGTCATGTAGCAGACACTCTTATCCAGAGTGACTTACAGGAGCAATTAGGGTTAAGTGCCTTGCTCAAGGACACATCGACAGATTTTTCTCCTGGTTGGCTCGGGGATTCAAACCAGCAACCTTCCGGTCAGTGGCCCAATGCTAGGCTACCTGCCTGCCTATTGGGTGTCCAGTGGTACTGACCCAGAGAAGCAGTGTGCTGCTGTGACGACCCAGCGTGGTGACACCAGTGACCCTCCACAGGTGTGTTGTCCATTCTGCTGCAGGCTCACCTGCCACGGCCAGTCTTCTATAGACGCATCCACACCCCCCACGATACGGTCCGATGGCCCCCGCTCTCCACAGTCTGACACGCACACAGGGGAAAGACATTTTAGTTCCACTGAAGAGTTTTGTGAAGAACTAAGGTAGCATCTCAGGAGTTGCCTTGTACACTAAGGTAGTTTGACGAGTAAATGTAGAATTTGCAGTGGGGGTGAACTCAAATTAGCCCTTTGGCAGTTAGCATTGCTATCTGTCAGCAAAGTAAGACAATCATGCAAGCACTGATCCATTACAAAGTGGCTTGTTGCCTGGATCCTGTCCAGTTTGCCTGCATTCTCCACCACTGTCAGAGCTGGAGATTGTAGTCTGAACAAAGCCTATTCCCCCTCAGGAAACTGAAAAGATTTGGCATGGGTCCTCAGATCCTCAAAAAGTTCTACAGCTGCACCATCTTAAGCATCCTGACTGGTTGCATCGCTGCCTGGTATAGCAACTGCTCAGCATCCAACTGCAAGGCACTACAGAGGGTAGTGCGTACGGCCCAGTAAATCACTGGGGCCAAGCTTCCTGCCATCCAGGACCTCTATACCAGGCGGTGTCAGAGAAAGGCCCTAAAAATTGTCAGACTCCAGCCACCCTAGTCATTGACTGTTCTCTCTGCTCCCGAATGGCAAGCAGTGCCGGAGCGCCAAGTCTAGGTCCAAAAGGCTTATTAACAGCTTCTACCCCCAAGCCATAAGACTCCTGAACAGCTAATCAAATGGCTACCCGGACTATTTGCATTGTCCCCCACTCCCTCTTTTACGCTGCTGCTACTCTCTGTTTATTATCTATGCATAGTCACTTTAACTATACCTACATGTACATATTACCTAAATTACCTCGACTAACCTGTGCCTCCGCACATTGACTCTGTACTTCTATAGTACATCTGTATGTAGGCTCGCTACTGTTATTTTACTGCTGCTCTTTCATTATTATTATTTATAAATTTTTTACTTTTCAATTTGTTTTACTTAACACTTTTTTTCTTAAAACTGCATTGTTGGCTAAGGGCTTGTAAGTAAGCATTTCACTGTAAGGTCTACACCTGTTGTATTCGGCGCATGTGGCAAATAACATTTGATTTGATTTGAACATGTCTGTCTGTCTGTCTGTGTCTCAGTCTTTCTGTCTCTATCTCTTGTGTATAACTCAACTCCTGGAGAACTTGGATGATGAATATCACTCAGTCTTTTCCAATTATTTGTCGAGGGGAAGGAGTGGGGAGTCCAGAATAGGGGGACAGGGGGGTGACAGAGTGTGAGGTGGAGTATCAGAGGCAGAGGAAGGGGAAGGGCTTACCGGAGCAGGTCAGGGAGATCACGGATCCTGAGTTACAAACCTGGCTGGAATCAAACAAGGAGGGGAATTCAACACAAAGTACATACACACGGTACATACTGTACACATCACGTTGTATGCATAGAAACACACCCAAAACATGATTACCAAACATAATAGGTAGACAAAGAGTCCAATTCGAGAGTTAGTCTTCAGTGTTGGTTTAGTGTCTGTCAGACATAACATACTCGTACTTCTTGTTTCCTCTAATTATTGAAACAAGGATGTGGGAGAACAGAAACTCCCAAATTGTTTGTGTCAGAAAAACAGAGAGTACGTCATAGTCAGAGACACACAACGAGAGAGAAAGAGAGAGAGAGAGAGTGAGAGAGAGAGAGAGAGAGAGAGAGAGAGAGAGAGAGAGAGAGAGAGAGAGAGAGAGAGAGAGAGAGAGAGAGAGAGAGAGAGTATGAGTGAGAGGAGAGAGAGAGAGAGAGAGAGAGAGAGAGAGAGAGGAGAGAGAGAGAGATGATGCAGTGGTGCGCATCACAAGTAGAGAGAGACAATAAAAGGAAACAGAAGGAGAGAATAAAGGGGACGTTTAATCTGTTTGTTTTTTTTGCCTTGGGCTGTTTTAGAGTAAACAGACAGGGTGGCAGTCATGCATTCTATTTACCATGTCACAACTGCCTGAGCCTAACTGCCATCTTACTACAAGCAGTGGCAGTGGGATGCCAGTGAATCAACACAAACACTGCATAGTGAACAGTGTAACAGTGACGCAGACATAGCTGCATGGTCAACATAGTCATTTATTTTTATTTTACCTTTATTTTACAAGGCAGTTAAATTTAGGCCTGGCAAAAATAAGACAAGTACCATAAGAGAGGCACAGACAGAAGTAACCAAAGTGGGGAAAATTTCTTTAGACTTGTTTCAATTCTCCATTTACTGCGTTGATCAAGATAGTTATCCATCCATATTTGATACCAAAAAACTGTATATATATATATTACTGATCCGTTCACCTTTCTGTTGAAACTAGATCTAGAAACAGTAGAGTCACACCACAGTAACAGGCTCAATATAACCCATCTTCTAATGCTTACCGGTCAATGACAGTCTGGTAAATGGGGGTGGTTTTGGCTGAGACCCTGACCCCTGAGAACGGTCCTGTCTTCAGGGACAGGGACAAGTTCTTCACTGAGATGGTACTACTGATGGGTTTACTGTGGGAACGAGTGGAGACAGAGAGACATTTTAAAGACATTTAGGAGAAACTGAATTAAAAGGGAAAAAGAGCAAATTGTTGAGGAGAGAGGGAGGGTTTGGTGTAATGGGAAACCCCGGGGGGTTTTGGGGGAGAAAAAAAATTCCCCCTTTCCCCCCCCTTGGGGAAAAACTTTAAAAAAACCCGCCAAAAAATAAAAAGAAAAGAGGAAACACCCCAGAGGAAAAAAGAAGAGAAAGCAAAAGGGGGGGAAGAAAGGGAAAAAAAGGGGGAAAAAGAAAGAAAGGGGAAAGGGGAGAAGAGGGAGGGAGGAAAAAGAAAAGAAAAAAGGGAGGGAAAAAAAAAAGGGGGGAAAGAGGGAAAGAAAAGAAAAAAAGGAAAGGGGGGGGGAAAAAAGGGCCCAAAAAAGGAAAAAAAAAGGGGGGGAAAAGGGAAAACAAAAAGGGCCCAAAAAAAAAAATAAAAACCAAAAAGGGTAAACGATTAAAGGAGGGGGGGGGTTTTTTTCCCCGGGGGTTGGGTGGTGTTTTTTGGATGTTTTTTGTTGTTTGTTGTTTACCTGGGAAGGTAGTGTTGACAGTCATGAAGGTCACACAGGTGAGCTCGTCCTCTCCTCCTGAACAGTCTGCTATCCCATCACACGCTTTGTCCAGGGGAATGAACTTCACCGACCGGGAGCAGAAGAAGTAATTGCTGTTGATCAGCTGCGCGACTGGGGACAGAAAGGAAGGGGGGAAGATGGATGAGAGGAGGAGAGACAGAAGATAGGGACAGGTTATTAAAATATATTGTTTGCTGACTGAAATAATACATTCACAAACATTTTGGGGAATCAAATTTAAAAATGTTGCTGTAGTTTGATTTTGAATCATTGAGCATTTGTACGGGGGGAGAGGTACTAGTATGTCTTGTGTTAGCTAAGGGGAGGAGAGGGTGTAGATATGGGTTGTGTCCCAAACGGCACACTATACCCTACATAGTGCACTACTTTTGACTGCACTACTCTTGATCCATATGGGCCCTGTTCAAAAGTAGTGCACTATGTAGGGAATAGGGGTGCCATTTGGGATGCGTTATGATGGATGTTGAAGCTGGACTCACTGAAGTAGCCAGCTGTGACCAGGATCCCCAGCGTTACCAGTACCATCAACACAGTGATCAGGACCCTCTTCCTCGACGAGGACTTCTCTTTCTGGGAATTCGGAGCCGTCATGAGCTTTCTTTTTCGACCAGGCTGCACTACAACTGAGGGAGAGGAAGATAGAGAAAGAACAATCAGCATTTTGGAGCTATTTAAAATATAGACACATTTAATAATAATTGGACAGTATGATATAATTGGTATAATTGGACAGTATGATATTGCATATTATGCAACACTTGTGCAATATGATTGCAAAATTAATAAATTCCACTACAATGGCTTACCTTGTTGTCTAGGATTTAATGGTATATTGCTTTCTTCTGCAAGCCAGGTGTCAGTCTGGAGAGAGAGAGAGAGAGAGAGAGAGAGAGAGAGAGAGAGAGAGAGAGAGAGAGAGAGAGAGAGAGAGAGAGAGAGAGAAGAGCGAGAGAGAGAGAGAGAGAGAGAGAGAGAGAGAGAGAGAGAGAGAGAGAGAGAGAGAGAGAGAGAGAGAGAGAGAGAGGGGAGAGAGAGAGAGAATGAGACAAAGTGGATCATAATGTGCTCAGTGCAGAACGTGTGACAGGGTGTAAGATTGTGAGCTTCTAGGGTCTAGAGAGGAGAGGCATGACAGATTGGATCAGGAACACACACACACACACACACAAACAACACAGTGTGCCTCCCATCACAAAGTTGTGTTTGACTGTCACTCCTAGTGCTGTGGGCACAATTCCCATGTCAGTCCCACACAGGGACAGAGATAGTCATATGACACAGGCTCGGGTGTGGGTGTGGTTCACAAGTACCTGCCATCATAACTCTCATGAGTCATAAGTCATTGTCTCATTGAATGAAACCTGCTCACTGGTGAAACAACAACATCCCAAAAAACCAATGACTGGTGTCTCAAACAGTCTGTTAGGTATCTACAGTATTGGCTATTTTGTCCAATCTCTCCAACTGGTCCACAAATACTGTACAAATCTGTCACCACACCAATACAGTCTACAAACTGCCACCTGGTTCTTCCTGACACACTCAGCAACAGTGAACCCAAGTCCTGCTGACACTTAGGCTGTCCTAATATGGACACCACTATACAATACACTATCATGCAGATAAGGAGGGTCATACTGTATGGAGGGAAAATAAACAGGTGGTGGCTACAGTGAGGGACAGGGCGAAGAAGACCAGAAGTCAGATATACATATACTGTACATTTACAATCCTAAACAGTTAAAGACGCCCTGTTGCTAAAGGCGTTGGGGGCTGAGCTTTGAGATGAGGTTTAACACAAATCACATACCTTTAGTGAGAATGGGGGGGGGAGTTCTGGTTCTCTATGGCAGGGTCCTGGGGCCCATGTTTTGGTTTTGGCAGGAGTGTCTTTTGGGGAGAAGGTCACCTTATCCTCGTAGGAATAGGCAATGGGGGCGTCAAATTAGGCAGAGCAAACTCTGATACTCTCTTGTATAAGCGAGGAAGAGATTCACAAAGCATTTTGTTCTGGTCAAAGCATTTGTCAAATACAATCTCTGAGCTTGACACAAAGGCTATGTGCATCAGAGAGGCAGACACACTGTAGCTGACTGTAAGCGTTCTATGGCAAAGCTTCAAATTAAGTAACTGCTAGATAACGGTTTGCGTTTCATTTGCCTTGGAGTGCTTCCATATGTAAGACCAGAGTTATTCTAGTTTACCTAAAAAGCTGGTTTCATATTGATATTTGATTAATTTGCTGTATAATCTTCCATTACATAAAATAATTTGGAAGGCTACAGGGTTTGATATCAGTCTTTCATAAAGGAAAATGCTGGCTCATTTAGGAAAAATTTTAAGAACATCAAAGTCATGCCAGATCGCTCCAATAAGAATAAAAATAACACACAACACTGAGTGTGTGAGTGTGCATTCCTGTGCACACTCACAGTATGTAAATGTTGATTTGAATAACACACTCACACACAGAGAAAGATTTGGTATAATTTGCATGAGTCATGGAGACAGTGCTGGTTGGTGGACTCTCCACTGTCACGCCCTGGCTCTGGGGACTCTTGTATGTTGAGCCAGGGTGTTAGTTTCTTTGTGTTGTGTCTATGTTTCGTTTTCTATGTTCTGTTCTAGGTTATGTGTTTCTATGTTGGCCGGGGTGGTTCTCAATCAGAGGCAACGAGAATCAGCTGTTGCTTGTTGTCTCTGATTGGGAACCATACTTAGGCAGCCTTTTGTGCACTTGTGATTCGTGGGATCTTGTTCCGTGTAGGTTTGTGTATGACTGAGGACTTCACGTTTCGTTTTGTTGTTTTGGTTATTTGTATCGTGTTGCTAAGTACACTATTAAAGAGATGTACGCATATCACGCTGCGCCTTGGTCCACTCATTATGACGATCGTGACATCCACGTAGATGTATTGTAAACAAGAACTAATCTAGGTCAGTATGAGCATGCTTTGTGATAAGGATATATGGTTACAAAGAGGAGAAGAAACAAAGAATGGACGGTAGAGTACAGAGGTGGGAGAACAGGAAGTTAAGCCAGTTCAACTTGAAATGTGACTATACACATCTTGGAGCTGACAGTTGACTGGCCAGTACCAACCATAACCAAAACACCTGCAATGTTTCATCAAAGATGACCAGGAATATACAGTGTTATGTTCAGTAATATGGTGTCTACCTCAGTTGAGAATTGAATACTGTTGCTTTAAGAATGTATCAGACACATTGTGCGTGAACGGAGGTGAGTGAGTTTTGGACGAGTTGTGAACATGTTGATCTGAAGTAAAGACGTTCAGTTTAATTGCACAACATGCCTCTGTAACATACAGTACATAGTAAACTATCCAAAATAGAGACTCATAGTGATTTGTAGACCACAGATGAACTATAGATCACTAACTGCAGCCCCTTCTCCATTCATTTACTCAAATGTATAACTTGAGGATCGCCTACTTTGCAACACAAACCTGAATCACACAATCTATGTCAATGATGACCTCAGTGCAAGAATTACATTTGACAGACAGTTGGCATACATTTACAAGTTGTGGTGGAATAAAATCCCAGAGAGAGAGAAATATGCAGAGTGAGACAGAGACAGAGAGAGAGAGAGAGAGAGAGAGAGAGAGAGAGAGGATAAGTTAAACATATAGAAGTGACATATAAACAGATGTATGCAGATGTATATGAGTGTGTGAGGGAGCAAGACAGAGGTGTGTTCAGGTAGTTTTGCCCATTTGGCCCATGCAGGAGAGTAAACACTGGGACTAGACCCAGTTTGCATTGAGGAAGAACCTTGGGAAGCATAACTGGGCCACACTGAAGGTTTCACTGATGAAATGACTTGGCATGTTTCACTTTTGTGTATAAAAAGGTGCTCTCTCTCCTTTGTGGATTGCATTTTAAAGTGAGAGAGCAACAAAGGCCTTTAGAGAGGTTACTTGTGAGTTTTAATCTAAGGCAGGGATCTCCAACAACACACACACAGACACATTCATGCGCACACATAGGCATACACATGCAAATGCACACCAGTTTCCTACATAAACCTGCAGGCTGACCGCAAAAACTACAGATGTGTACAATCACAAGAACCCTAATCTATGTCTATTTCATACATATAGATCTCACAAGAATCTAGATATTGTCAGAACAGTCGCCTCAAAATGAGGCAGTAATACTTTAACATGGTAATACTTTAAAATGCACTTGAGGATCGTTTGCTTTGCAAGGGACTATTTGCATTTATAATAATTGTTCACTAAACACACAGACCATACGTTGATATACAGGTACACACGGCCATGTTATCCCATATGTTTCGTTTTCTCTAAAGTCTCATCACTGTAAACCTGTAAACCACTACTGTACGAGTCCACAGTAAGAGCTGGGTGGTCACGGATGATCAATACTACTCCACAGGTGATTAGCCTGATCCCCTATTTTCCCAGACTGTAATATCCGTCTCTACTCACCTTCATGTTGCTGAAGTCCGATCTCAGCTGGCCCAGACCCACAGGTCACAGGGTACAGAGGATGCACTGTACTTCACTCTCTGGACTAAGTAGAACTCCCTTCAACAGTCTCTCCCTTCCCTTCGTCTTGTGCCTTCTGTCCCTCCACTTCTAAAGTTCTACCTCTCACAACTCTGTGCCGGTCCGTATGGTTATTCTCTCTTTCTTCCTTCTCTCTCCTTCTCCCTCTCTCTATCTGTCTCTCTCTTCCTCTCGTACTCTGTTCTTTGTCCCTCAATTCACAGGCAATGAAACGTGATCTATCATGCAGGCTGCCTAACTTGCTGTAAAAGTCGGCTGCTGTATTAGCGACCGTTTGTGTGTTTCTGTGTGTATCCGTGCTGCTGAAATCCACAGGGATTTGTTGTGAGTGACCCAGCCCCTGCTCACTAAACGACACCAAACTAGTATCTGTAATATGACACCTTATGCCCTTCTCTCTCTACCTGTGTACTTCCTCTATCTCTCTCCTCACACAAACTACCTATCCTGATCTGGTGGCTATCTCTCTCTTTTTCTGTTCTTCTACCTTTCGTCCATGAATGTATGAAAAAAATGCACACACACAAATACACACAGACACACAGGAACAGACACACGCGCACAGATGGACACACACACACACACACATTCAAACACAAACACTTGATGTGTGTAGTGAGTTGCCTTCAGGTGAGGGCGTGGGTCAGTCCTGTCATGTTGTTTTGACTGAATAATTAGGAGTCTGTTGAATCAGTTGGAGTTGCAGTCTGACTTTGCTCTCTGAGCCAGAGGACATAACCCAGGAATGCATACGTGACCACAATCATATTCTGGGACAGAAACTTGTTTCTACTGTAACTCCTCTTTTTTAAAACCCTCCTCACTAGGAGATTTGACAATCATATTGCTAAAAGCTTGATGTAATATCCCCCCACACCTCAGGCTTAGTGTGGTACATGGGTGAAAGTTCTGCCAAATGTTGTAATTGTGTCACTGGAGTAAAGAATCTGGCAGTTTCCTTGTACTGGATTCTCAACGTTTCCTTCCTTCCAGTCAAAGGTCAACAATAGGTCCACTTTTCTTTGATTTCAACTAACAGCTCCATTACATACTGTAAGTGATTCGTAACCCAACAATAACCTTCTTCTCTGTGAGCCAGACTGTTTCTGCATTGAACAATGCTGAATTGCTAGACAACATCGAGCTAGTAACATACGAACTCTGACTTCTATACAGATCTGTGGCTTTGTGGTCATCCTATTAAAAACGATAGAGGAGTTATACCTGAGGTATACAATGTACTCAAGGAGTCAACACGGGTCAAAACAATCTATGTACATTACCAGTCAAAAGTTTGGACACACCACTCATTCAAGGGTTTTTCTTTATTTGTACAATTTTTTACATTGTAGAATAATAGTGAAGACATCAAAACTATGAAAAAACACATATGGAATTATGTAGTAACCAAAAAAGTGTTAAACAAATCAAAATGTATTTTATATTTTTGATTCTTCAAATTGCCACCCTTTGCCTTGATGACAGCTTTGCACATTCTTGGCATTCTCTCAACCAGCTTCATGTGTTAGTCACCTGGAATGCATTTCAATTAACAGGTGTGCCTTCTTAAAAGTTAATTTGTGGAAATGATTTCCTTCCTAATGCGTTTCAGCAGTTGTAACAAGGTGTGTGTGTGGGGGGGGGGGGGGGGGTATACAGAAGATAGCCCTATTTGGTAAAAGACCAAGTCCATATTATGGCAAGAACAGCTCAAATAAGCAAAGAGAAACGACAGTCCATCAATACTTTAAGACATGAAAGTCAGTCAATACCGAACATTTCAAGAACAATGAAAGTTTCATCAAGTGCAGTCGCAAAAACCATCAAGCACTATGATGAAACTGGCTCTCATGAGGACTGTCACAGGAATGGAAGACCCAGAGTTACCTCTGCTGCAGAGGATACGTTCATTAGAGTTACCAGCCACAGAAGTTGCAGCCCAATTAATGCTTCACAGAGTTCAAGTAACAGACACATGTCAACATCAACTGTTCAGAGGGGACTGTGTGAATCAGGCCTTCATGGTCGAATTGCTGCAAAGAAACCACTACTAAAGGACACCAATAAGAAGAATAGACCTGCTTGGGCCAAGAAACACGAGCAATGGACATTAGACCGGTGGAAATTTGTCCTTTGGTTTGGAGTCCAAATTGGAGATGTTTGGTTCCAACCGCCGTGTCTTTGTGAGACGCGTTGTGGGTGAACGGATGATCTCCGCATGTGTAGTTTCCACCGTAAAGCATGGAGGAGGAGGTGTTGTGGTGTGGGGGTGCTTTGCTGGTGACACTGTGTGTGATTTATTTAGAATTCAAGGCACACTTACCAGCATGGCTACCACAGCATTCTGTAGCGATACACCATCCCATCTGGTTTGGGCTTAGTGGGACTATCATTTGTTTTTCAACAGGACAATGACCCAACAGAGTGATGGAGTGCTGCATCAGATGACCTGGCCTCCACAATCACCCGACCTCAAACCAATTGAGATGGTTTGGGATGAGTCGGACGGCAGAGTGAAGGAAAAGCAGCCAACAAGTGCTCAGCATATGTGGGAACTCCTTCAAGACTGTTGGAAAAGCATTCCAGGTGAAACTGGTTGAGAGAATGCCAAGAGTGTGCAAAGCTGTCATCAAGGCAAAGGGTGGCTATTTGAAGAATCTCAAATCTCAAATATATTTTATTTGTTTAACACTTTTTTGGTTACTACATGATTCCATATGTGTTATTTCATGGTTTTGATGTCTTCACTATTATTCTACAATGTAAAGAATAGTAAAAATAAAGAAAAACCCTTGAATGAGTAGGTGTGTCCAAACTTTTGACTGGTACTGTATGTGTAAATTGCCTGATTTACTTTGCAGAACATATGTGGTTGTGTATTGTCCTAAAGGTAATGGGAGAGTGAGCTATTACATAATGAGCCAGAAATAATAAAGAGAGAGAGAGAGAGAGAGAGAGAGAGAGAGAGAGAGAGAGAGAGAGAGAGAGAGAGAGAGAGAGAGAGAGAGGAGAGAGAGAGAGAGAGGAGAGAGAGAGAGAGAGAGAGAGAGAGAGAGAGAGAGAGAGAGAGAGAGAGAGAAAGAGAATGATCCTCTATTGAGAACAGAAACAGATTGTAATCCATGATGACCCACACTGTTAAGAGCTGTGAACCCTGACCCTCTCACCAAACTTCTGTTTTCCACTTCAGAACAAGGAAGTAATGCAAGTGCAGAGCTTTCTAATGGTTTCAAAGTTCACTGGGGCATGGTCCCGACTCCCTGTCAAACCAAAATATCTTCTGAATAAGACATTAACAATATGTCAGCAATAGATAACAAAATGCTGTTGCATAGTACAGTAGAATCGCAGTGTCACCATGAATTGTAAATGTTATTGCCACCGACCTGTGATAAAAAGTTCAGACACTGAAATAGAGAGTGTAAACAGAGGGAGACAGAGATAATGATATGTGAAGGAAGAGAGAGAGAGAAAAAAGGAATGTGAATCATCTCTACTGCAATGACAGTATCTGACAGTGTCAAACCAAATATTATTTGACTGTCAAAAGTCCCCATCCACCATATCAGAGATATCCAAACCAAATGAACTGCTTGTTCCTGACCAGTGGATATTTGCATAGCAACATTACAACAGACACACTTTCCATGAGGTCGATTCATGGGAGTTGAACGGCATTTTACAAGTACACTATGTATTCATAGTCTGTACAAAACTGTCTGGGATGGGTGAAGTATTATCCAGACTGGCACTGCCGAACTAATGTTACCCTCAGGGCTCTATAGTTGTGTGGAGTGGTTTTTTACATTGGCTTTAGTATCCCAATATCTAACCTTGAGTCTTTCACAATCAGTATTTTTAGATCTTAGTGCAAGCTCAATCAAAATGGACATTGACCAACCTATTACTGAAGATAATTTTACTGAGCGTTGGATCAAGGTTCTCTCCTGATCTGGCTTGGCTTCTGTTAAACAGACACACCAAACGTAATGAGGTTCTACAGCCATTGTCCACTCTCAAGACTGTCATGTAGAAAGAAAATAAAGCCTGCACAAGCAATGGTGCCCCCACATAATTGATTTACACAAAAATGCACAAAAATGCACAACATAGTCTCATAGACTAGATGTAACATAGTAAATGTAAATCTGGGAAACTCAAATTAGTATGATATCTTACATTTGGTATGGTTATATAAGATCGAAAGTTACTAATTTATTAATGTGTTATTTAATGCATTTCTATGGGCTATAGTAGTAACGGCCAAATTCAATTTTTAATAAAATCATTTTTGAAAAAAACATTTTTATACCTAATGGGGTCCTACAATTCAAAATCAAATAGCTAAATGAGCCATGGTATGACCATCTTAAAAAAAGATGGTCATAACACGGCTTAGAATCTTAAGAATTAAATTATCAAAATGTGTCTCTTACATGAGGTTAACCAGTCGCTGTTGCCTGTCAGTCTTTCACCCTCAGTCCTGATCAGGTGGTCTCTGGTGGTTGGAGTCAGTGTTTGCCTGGTTGTCTTTAGAGGTCCACCTGGATCCTTATAGTAATACTGCAGATGTAGAAGTGAGCTTTGAATATGCTTGTACTTCTCTCCACCTTCTCTGTCCCTTTGACTTCAATATTGAATAGAAAGTCCCAGAATCTATCCTCTCTTCCTGCTTTCTTTCCCTCTCTCTCTGTGTTTGAACTGTTGCTCAAGCCTGCCTACTTAGGGAGCAAACTTCACAGTACCTTCATTTTATGTGATCCCACCTCTCTCTCCCTTTGTGTTTTTGTTTTAGCTTAGGTGGGTGAGAATGAGTCCAGGGAAACATATTCAGACTCGTTTCTGGTCAGTGTGTTTTGTCCCCTCACTCTCACATTACACACCACCTGTGTCTGTGTGCTAGAGGTATTGCATATAAGGAAACA